CTATGTTGAAAAATGAACTTTACAATTTGGTGGGGGGGGGGAAGGGGGAGTATGGTTGTAGAGGTGGGAGGGAAGGGATGGTAGGGGAAAAACAAAGGAGGAGGCAACAATGCTTGATAAGAAATGTACTCATTACCTTGCTCATGTAATTGTAACCCTTCTGTACAGTATTTTCACAATTAAAAACTTATTTAAAAAGAATAAAAAATAAATAATGCTATGATTATAATAAATACTATGCTCATGTTGTTGATGCTTTTTCTGACATTACTAATTGATGATTCTGTTTTCCTCTTTGAAAATCAAATTTATATAAGACAGGATGATGGTGGTATCAAGAAATAATTTAAAGTATTGTTTTGTAATTGTAACTTCGTTATATGAACAAATTAACACTTGGTTATCTTTCTCCTACCTTATAACTTAAATACTGATTTTTTGTTGTTATACTCAGGAGAAAATATAACCCACAATATTAAATATAAAAACTCATACATGTATATTACAAAAATTTAGTTTTATTCTTTCTGTTCAATAAAGGAGTAAGAGCCTGAAGAATTTGTTGTAGCTATAATTACATGGCTATAGGAATGAAAACCCGGTGAGCATACATTTATGTAACACTATATTTCAGTATATTTTAAAATACAAACATAATATTTAAACCATTATATAATAAAATATAAACCACTATTTTTATCAATTTTTCTTTAAATAAGTAAGTTAGTTCACACTTATGACTGATTACTGATGAGGTTTATATGTTTGGTGTAGGGAAGTAACATGGTCTATTAAAAGGATGTTAGCAGGTACATTAAACATTCAATCAAATGTAAATGAACAGGTCAATCATCCAGAATTATCCAAGAGGCTTGACCTCCGTGAAGCCCATTTACAGATAAATTATTCAACAAAAAAATTGCTGCCTTGTAAATTCTGTTCATTACTGACAGTGTTGTGCACTACTCAGTAATTACATATCCCTGACTCTACTATAGGAGTAGGATATTATGTACATTCAAAATCAAGAAGTAGAAAAATCAGAAATGATACACAGATTAATTGAAATGAAAATACTTTCATCCCAGACTCCATTCAATCCTCTTCTATATCACTTCATCCCAAACTCCATTCAATCCTCTTCTATATTACTTATATCCTGTTTTGATATTTTCATGATTTGATTTGAAATTTTTGGTATATAATAGTCTTTTGCAACCATAAACTACTCATTTATTTTTTGTATTATGTTATTTCCTTGTTTTTCAAAATTCTTTTACAACTGCTGTTCACTTTGACATTACCAGCCATGTCAGGAAGTAATATTACCAAGCCTATCTGCCTTACAGGAAAACAATCTAAAGGAACAAAGATTGAAAATTGTAAGTTGTTTTCTAAGCAAAGTGAATTTATTCAGATATTGCATTAATTAATTGATTAATTTTATTGTCCAGGCCTCACACTCTTACTTAGCAAAACTAAGCTCAATTTGATCTTATATGTATCACCAAGTTATGAAGAGTTTCATGGTTAATACAGATGGTTAATTCCTCAACCATCCTTTTCCTGTCTCCCTCCATCTACATACACTCATGTGTGCATGTGTATGCACACACGCACACACGAACACACACATGCATGGGGGAAACTCAGAATAAATTTCAAATCTAATTATTCGGGGTTTTCATGTGTGAACATGCGGTATATTTTTTATGCAACCTTATATGCAGAGTATATTTTTCTACACTAATGGTACACATACATATCTTAGTGACTCCTGGAACAAATTGTTATAAATAAATAAGGCACATCAATGAAATCATGTATAAAATTTTACACATCTAGCTCCACAAATAAATTTCTTGATAAGTTATCTTCTACATAATAAGTTCTGGACTAGACGTCCCATAGGGAAATGGCACAAGGTCTTCTTGAGTGTTAGAATGTACATTTGGACCTCTGATTTAGTGGAACAGTGTGTAAAAATCTCATAATCAGTACACTCCCTATTGGCTCCACATCTGAAGATCCCCAAGAGTGCTATTTGTCTCAGTGAACATCTGGAATAGATTATATCCAGTTAATTGGCTCCAGGTTGAGATCGTTACAGACAGTAGCATGCAGTATAACCTGTGCATTTCAGTAAGTCCACCCACTTTGACTAAATCACACCTACTTCTCTTCATAATTCCTCCCATATGCAGAGCTTATCTATGTGTATGTTCACACAGCGTGCACACACACACACACACTAACAAAATATCAATGTATCAGTAGAGAGGTTTAAAAAGATGTTTAACCCATAAATTATCTCAACTGCAAAATTAACCATTGAATTTGACAAAGTTTTGGAGAGAATAATAAAGAATTGGGAGCATTAAACTGTAGAAAAAATACCTGCTTTATGGGCTGGGAAAGTGGCTCAGTGGTAGAATGCTTGCCTTGCATGAATGAGGCCCTGGGTTTGATTCCTCAGCACCACATAAGCAGAAAAAGCCGGAAGTGGTGCTGTGACTCAAATGGTAGAGTGCTACCTTGAGCTGAAGAGCTGAGGGACAGTTCCCAGGCCCAGAATTCAAGCCCCACGACTAACAAAAAACTAAAAAACAAAGGAGGAGGAGGAGGAGGAGGAGGAGGAGGAAGAGGAGGAAAGATCCGCCTTAGTAGATTTATTTAGTAGAATAATCTTCCATTTTTTTTAAGTCCTAACAGTTTGGATATTTTGGTCCTATTTTATTCCCCTCCACCCCTTACTATATGTCTCAGCACATGTAGGCACATATCAGAGGGTCACAGTAGTAAAGACAGCAATACTTTGATTTTTAACTTATTTAACAATATTAATGAGTTAGGCTACAATGAACAGTATAACTACTGTTCATTGAAAACCAAAACATCAATCATTTTAACTTACAATGTTGGAGGCATAGGGCATGTCTTAGCGATTAATGACCAGTTGGAGGAGTAGTTATCTTAATACATAGCCAAGAGCCATTAACTTCAACTAGTCATTAATTTCCAGGAAATGTCCTATACTGAGGTCACTATTGCTAATAAAACACACATATGGAAAGTTTCTCTTTTTTGCCTATGTACATAAACATGCGTTCACGTTGCATGCATTATTGCATGTCATGGGGGGGAAAGGATTTTTCCAAGTCCAGAATCTCAGAAAAACTAAATCTAATGAAAAATGAGACTATTCAAATTAACCATTACTTCTACCTAGCCATTTGATTTACCATTTCCTATTTTCAGAGGGCATGGGTATGAGAAAAGATACTTGTTGGTATGTGAAAGATGTGGGCTTATCTACTGCGTTCACACGGTTCCTAATCACAATCAGATCTAGACAAAGGTAAAGGATGGGGAAAGGAGCTGAGAGGAGTTCTTTGGGGAGAGGTGGAGCCAGACATGATTGAATATCAAGGGCAGTGAAAGTGATGCTTTGTTTTGAGTCATAATATATTAGGTACCCAAACTGGCATGAGGCAGATTTAAGAGTTCCTTTGAGTTCCTTTGTCAAGTCCCCCATTGGTTGACAATGCACTTTTTCCTCCTTTTCCTCATTTGATTAAATCTATCATGTTGTCAGCTCTGTGTTTTTGCATCCCTGAACCAGATATCACTGTCTGTAGAATTCTCTCCTGTTGCGTTCAATTCTGCTCTTTTGTATATAAAATTACTTGTCTTGCTTAAATATACATAGTACACTTTTAAGCTATCATCCTTGGTATCTTGTAAACATCTCATTTTGTTGTAACTTATTTTTATGTAGTCAGCCACTCCTATAGAAAGGAATCTTATATTTTACTTCAACTTAATAGTCAAGAATTTACTATTGTGATAGTTATTGATAAGAATAGATAGATAGATAGATAGACACACAGACACACACACACACACACACACACACACACACATGCACACACGTACACACACCACATACCAAACAAAGCAGTTACCACATATAGGATCCTCTCTGGAATCCATCATAGCAAGTATTGGTTAAAAGTGAACTCCTTCCTAGAAAGGCAGTGTCTTAGTGAAGAAGGAAGAAAAGTTAAAGACTCCAAATGAAAAGCACCATAGGTTTACATGTAGACAAGGCAGACTCTTACTAAAGGCTTCATTTGATTCATCTCTTCCCATGTGACTTTAAAAAAAACTGTTAAAGAAGTGGAGGTATGGAACAAGTGGCTGAATGCTAGCTTTTAGCAGAAGAAGCTAAGGGAGAGTGCCAGGCTCTGACTTCAAGCACTAGTACCATATTAGAAATAGGTAGATAGATAGATAGATAGATAATCATTCTGTACTTCAGTTTTCTCATCTGTAAAATTAAGTAATAATTGCCTTAACATTGAAGCTGTCACTAATGTTAAATGATTTTGGCTAGGTAAAGCCCTTAAAAAATATCCTGCATGCTGCTGGTCAATGACTATACTTAATGAAAAATTCATTCATTCATGGTAAGCTTGCATTGGTCCAGGCCTACCACCTATATAAGTGGCCTTGACCTAATCGTATCTAGCTTTACTAACTCTGGTGGAATTTCAACTAAGAAATGAGAATACATCCACTTCAAGAAAGGCTGCTTTGTATGATTTGGTTTGAGGATCTTGTTCTTTGGAGATGGTATGATGTACAGAGTCTTCTCCTAGTGCTTCTACCTAGCCAAAGAATCTATAAAGTGATGAGCAAGGATGAAGTGTTAAATACTTGCAGCAAAAATGTGAAAATTGCTTTAATACAACAAGAGAAATTTTCAGTAGTCATTTATATAATTGGATTTGTAACACTGTGTTCATTTGTCCATCTGAGTAAAGATGATTCAGAATTTTATTTAATAATTATGACTTATTTGGTTTATGACAATTCTGCAAGAACAAATCACATAAGAACTTACTTATTTAAAAAATCTATATATTTTCTGAAAACAGTAGTACATCTGAAAAAAATCTTCAAAAATGTTATCCTGATCATTTTTTAAACATTTTCAGATTCGTTAACCTCATTTGAAAGAGGATATTATTTTCATCATGAATGCTAATAAAGATGAGAGAGCCAAGACCCAATGTCAAGAATTTCACATTTTACATGGTTTAATGATGCTAAGCATGACCATGCTGTTTCTTCCTGTCACTGGAACATCTAAGCAAAATATTCCACGGCTCAAGTTATCATACAAAGGTAAGTATATAAATATTTTCACGTATAGTAAAATTTTTTGGTTTTTAGTTTTGTTTCCTTTAGGAATTTATATTGACTGTTTGCATCACCTAATAATATAGTATACAATAAAAAAGCTCAGTTCCTTATTGTTGTATCTAATTTTTGTAAAATTCAATCTGCCACACTTAACTTATATTGGTCTTTTGATTATTATAAATGGTGGAAGGTGGATAATATTGAAATACACTGTGTCTATGTATAACACAGCTCACAGAAAACTGTTGATCAATAGAATGATGGGGACTGCAGAAAGAGAGCTATAGAAAGGTTCATTATGTCATATAATATATGCAAATGCAAAAATACCTTGGTGCAACTCCCTTTTATAATTAATATACACTAAATGAATGATCAAAAAGTAAATAGTCTCTGTTGTAAGGGAATTAGCAAGAGAGGTAGGAGAAAAACATAAGGTGATCAAAGTACTTTATATACATGTTTGAAGAAAGAACCTGTTAAAATAGTTAAAGAATGGGGTAAAACCTGCTTTCACTATATTTGATGTCAGTATAACTTGTGGAGGAGATGGGGAAAAACCAGTTGTTTAAGGATACAGGTGGACCTGTTGCAACAATGAGAAGTCAAGTTGTCATGTCCAAAAGGAGCTTTACAACGTCGGTGCGGGGGGGGGGGTAAGAAGGGGGGGGAGGAGAAGGATTGGGATTGACGGGGAGGGGGGAGGCTGGGAAGGGATGTGAAGGGTAAACAAAGGAGGAGGCTGCAATGCTTGGTAAGAAATGTACGCATTATCCTGCCCATGTAATTGTAACTCCTCTGTACAGCATGTTCACAAATAAAATTAAATTAAAAAAAAGAGCTAGAAAAATAAAAGAATGGGGTAAAAGAGGGAATAAGGGTGAATGATGATAAAGGATGTGAGGTCAATGAAGGAAAAACGGAGACAATGAGGGAAGGGCTGACATTGTTTAAAAAGAAATGTGCTCTTGAGCTGTAGCTTTAATTCCTCTTTACGTCACCTTTATAATAATAAAAATGCGGGGGGAGCCTTAACTCCATATTTATAACCTCTTTGCTGATGTTTTAGGTTTATTTTTAAATTTTCCATCAAGTAGCATCATAGAAACAATGTCACATAGGTACATAAATATCCCTTGCATAATATATTTAGGGATCATTATAAGCTTAATTATGTCATTTTTTAATTCAGAAAGTAATCACATTTAGAAACCTACTTTGTCAAGAATTGAATTATTTTCCTTCTAAACAGCCTGATTCAGTGTAGAAAATGTAAAATAATTAATATTTTGAAGTTCTTAGAAAGTGGATGGGCAAATACAAGCAATATGTTACTGAAAAGCTAGTTATTTCCAAAAGGGAAATTCAACATTTTTTTTTCAAAGTAGTTGAAAAGATGAGTAGTCAAAACTGGCAAGGACCATACAATTGTGCTAAGCCAAAGTGATTACTCATTTTTTTCAGAAAAATAAATGAATAGTAGCAGCCATATGGAATTACTGTGCATATGTATGTGGATACTGAAGCAAACAATAATGAAAGCTTTCTAGAACGCCTACCCTGTATTTAATTTCCATGTTTTATTACTTTTCTAGCCTTTGAGATGTAGATAAACTAAAACATTTGCAAAAATACAATTTTTGGCTTGTATTCTAAATACCAGAAGCATCAAAAGAATAGAGTTTATTGATTCATTCAGTCTCCTTCTACAGAAAAAGAGGCTCAGATGAATGAGAATCTTTAAAGAAATAAATCAACATTCTTAATCTTTATAGGACAGAAGGCAAAATCAAAACCATACACTAATACAAACTGTTGATTTTTCAAATTAAGAACCTACTACATTTAAATAGCTATTTAGAATCCCTCTTATTTTAGATTTTAATGTAGAGGAAAATTGTCTCAGTTCTATCCCCATACCCCAAACACACATAAATCTAACAACAGGCTTCAACTATGCAAAATTCAGTAAAGTTCTTTATGCCTCCCAATAATCTTAAAGGTACATGTGGTTCCCTTTATGGTGTATAAGTCCTCTGGGACTTACTGTATCTAATGTATCTACAGTGAAAGAGTCAGGATTAGGATCTCAGGCTCGGTGTAGATTGGGGCCAATCCAGGAGGTTAGCTATGAACTAACTGTGACCTCCCCATTTGCTCCATATCTCAATTTCTCACATGGGAAGAAAATAACAATTCTCACCACAAAAGGTGGTGGTGAAAATAGCTCATTCCCCAAATAGTGCTTATATCAATGCGGTCATAACAAATTCTCAGTGACTTTTATGTATTGAACCAATTTGATTTGCAAATAATATTCTTTTTTCTTTGTCTACACTCATCAATGTTTTGTAACTTTTACTACATTAAAGAAACCTCTAAACGGTATTTTCATAATTAAAAAAAAAGAAACCTGATGGTATAGTAACATTCTTTAATGCCTTTGTTTTAAATGTTCCTTATTCTTTTTCTTTATTGTTTGGATTATAATACTTGATTCTAATATGTCCTTTCCTTCGTTCCTTCATTTCTTCTTCCTTCCTTCTTTTCTTTCTCTTTTTTTATTTTCTTTTTGTTCTTGATATGGAAGTTTGAACTCAGAATGTCATGATTGTTAGACAGGTGATCAGCCACCCAAACAACACATACATTATAGATTAAAGATTTTTCTTGATCTTAGTTTTGGGAATATTTTATAGTTTGCATTTTTTATGTTTTATTTTTATTTTTGTCAGTTGTGGAGCCTGAACGCTGGACCTGGGAACTTTCTCTCAGCTCTTCAGCTCAAGTCTAATGCACTGCCAGACTTGAGCCACAGTGCCACTTCTGGCTTTTTCTGCTTATGTGGTTGAGAATTTGAACCCAGGGCCTCATGCATGCAAGAAAAGCACTCTACCACTGAACCACTTTCCTAGCCCTGTAGTTTGAATTTTATAATGTTTTATTTTCTAAGTTTTCTGTAAGTTTTCTGATATCTAGTTTAAATATTTTTATGGTTACTAGTCATTTTCCTAGAAATCTTTGCTTAATCTAAGCTTGTAAAGATAGTCTCATGTCTTTAGAATTGTGGCTTTTATTTAAAAGGAGATTTCATTTTAACATTTCCATTCATGCATACAGTTTTTAATATTATAAAGGTGATGTGAAGAGGAATTAATGTTACAGATCAAGAGTATATTTCTTTTTAAACAATGTCAGCCCTTCCTTCATTGTCTCCCAGTTTTTCGTTCCCATCCCCACCCAAAAGTTGCATAGTTAATTTTCAACTTAGTGACCAGTAAGTACCAGTAACAAATTTGTTCACCCTTTGTCCCACCATTTCTGTGACCCCTTTACACTCCCAAAGACAGATAAATGAACAAATAAGTGAAAAAGAAAATGAAAATGGTGATAAAAAATATTGTTTCCATTTCCTAGAGTTCATTGTGATAAATGTAATTTTATATGATCAGATGCACACAGGTATTACAGATACACATAGGTATTACACCTTTGTGTTCCTCCCAGAAGAGTAGCCTCCTTTGGCTTCACTGTTTCTGAATGCCTAGAGACCTATACAAATTATCATGTCCCAGTGTATATATATGTATATATATACATATATATACACATATATACATATATATACATATATGTATATGTATACATATATATACACACACATATATATTTACCATCCCCTGTGTTTGCTTATAAATTTATAGGCACACTCTAGCTACCACAAATAAGGGAAGTCATGCCAACCTATTTTTTGCTGGTGTGGCTTATTTCACTTAATATTTTCAATTTTTAAAATTTTATTTTAAAGGTGATATACAGATAGGTTACAACTACATAAGTCAGGTAATGAGCACATTTCATTTTGAACAGTGTCACGCCCTCCATCATTCTCTCCCAGTTTTTCCTCTCCTGACTCCCCCACTTCACTGCTGAATTGGTTCACCCTTTGTCCCCACCATTTCTGTGCTTCCTTTTCCCCTCCCAAACCAGATAAACTTGTATATAAGACAAAGGGTACAGAAACAAAAAAAAAATAGCCACAGAAGGGAATAGACTAAAGGAAAAGAGGTGTGGGGGGACCACAAAACAGTACAATAAAAACTTCTTGCTTCCATTTATTGGAGTTCATTTTGATAAGTGTCATTTTATACGGTCATATACACATAGATATTGAGCCCTTGTGATCCTATCCGAAGTATATCCTCCTTTGCTCTCACTGTGTGGATGTAATTAGAAAGTTCCTATGGATCTATAAGTAAATTCAGTGCATAGTAAAAGACAAATAATTGCACTTGGACATAACTTCTTAATTTTTTTCTAAGTCTTTCCATTGCCTAAAGAATGATACAATATCGTTCTTTTTGATGGATGTGTAGAATTCCATTGTGCATATATACCATGTTTTCTTGATCCATTAGTCCATTGAGAGGCATCTGTGCTGATTCCATATCTTGTCTATCATAAACAATGCTGCAGTGAACACAGAACATAGTTGTGCTGTTAGCTTTAGTGTGACCTTGTTTATGATATATTGGATAAAAGCTTGCTTGGTCATTGGATAGCTTTATGTTTATTTTTTTGTGGAACCTCTGAACAGTTTACAAAGGTTATCTCTTTTGAACTTATTTAGAGACAGAGAGGGAATAGGAAAACATACTTGCAAATGCCATTTCAAATGTAAAATGTTCTCTGAAGACTGAAGCAAGAGAGTGACTAGGTCAAACTACTCAACTTAGACTTTGCCAAGATTAGGTTTCTTAACATTTTATGAAAAAATAAAACATTGGGTTTTACATCCATTTTATAGATAAAATACATGAACCTTAGTGCCTAAATTACATAAGCCAAAGTAAGAAACAACCAAAGGCTGTGTTCCTATATTTGTTTAGTCCAAGGTCTATGGACCTGTCACATTATGGTGTCTATAAAGGAAACATGACATATTTAAGAATACATATATCGCAATACAAAAATACATAAGA